TAGTCATCCTAATCCTTGCTCAGATTTACCTGGTAGATTGATTTCTTTGATTTTTTTTGGTTTTGATTTTCTTTTTAGAAAACATGAAATCAAGAAGTCTCTATTTTCAGCTCTGCTACTAAACTTCAGAATTTGAAAATTTCATGACTTTATTTTTCCTAACAGCTGTATAGTATTTCATTGTGTAGATATGCCAGACTTTCCTACATGTGGATGAACATGGAGAGTATCATGCTAAGTGAAATGAGTCAGAAGGAGAGGGACAGATACAGAATGGCTGCATTCATTGGTGGTGTATAAATATATATATGTATATGTGTGTGTATATATATATATATATATATAGTAGAAGACTAATATTCATGTCCAGGGAAAACAGTGGTTAGGAGGACTTCTCAATGGTTGGAAATAACTACAAGTGTGTGTGGAGCTGAGGGTAGGTAAGATAGAGAAGAGACCAATATGACAATCATCGCAGGGAATGATCACACAGGACAAGATCTGAGGGTTAAAAGTAGATAAGGGGATATTCATGATAAGCTTCTAATAACAATATTGCAAACTACAATGCCCAAAATGAGACAGAGAGAGAGAGAGAGAGAGAGAGAGAGAAGGAAAGCACCTCCCATACAGGCAGGCAGTGGGTGAGGTGGGGGGTGATGGGAGGGAACCTGGGGACACTGGTGCTGGGAAATGTACACTAGTGGAAGGATGGGTGTTTGAATACTGTATGATTGAAATCCAACCATGAACAGCTTTGTAAGGGTCTATCGCACAGTGATTCAATTTAAAAAGTTAAAAATAAATAAATAAATATAATAAAATTCAAAATTTGTCATTCTGAGGCTTTTGCTCATTTGGGAAATTAAGGCAATCTCCCAATGTTTACTTTTTTGACTCCTCCACACAACTGAGAGCTCCCTTAAGGCATAAACTCATATCAATCACTGGATTCTCAGTGTCTAAAATAGTGTCTGGCATATAGTAGACACTTAGTAAACATACTAATCAACTGAGGCTCTGTGATTTCTTCCAGTTACATTACAACATGATCTCCTAAAATAAAACTGTAGTTGAGTTGATTTAATCCCCCCCAACACGAGCAGCAGATAAGACTATCACTTCTCATTTTTCTCTGCCCACTGTTGAGACACCTCCATGAGCACAAGGATGTATCTTCTGCCAGAAGATATATTATGTACAAAAGCAGATAACAAGACCTGCCAATTTTTTAACAGTATGGAAAGTGATTTGATTGAGGAAAAATCTACAAGCATCCACTTGAAGTGTTGTCGATCTAGTGGTTTTACTTATGCAGGGTGCACCTGCCAGCCACTCATATCCATAATCAAGAACCCGCTAACCAGATAATCTCATAATCGGCCACCATGCAGATCGCATGTCCTTCTCTCCCAGAAAAAAACACATGACACTCGCCATAGCCATGCCACCGGACCCTGTGCCAGGCTGTTTCACTCTGGGCGCCCCAGAAGGGGGCAGGTGAGACCTCTCCTCCCCAAGGGATCCAGCCCTGTTCGCTGGAAACTTCCAGAACCCAACCCCACCATGCTCAAGGCTGTTCCCCACACATGCACCAGTGACCTCGTGACGCATCATAAGACACACCCTACCCATTCTCCAAGAGTATCACACCACATTTGATGGGGTTCAAATTGTAGGCAACTAACCATAGAGGGAAATATATATATATATATATACAAACACATATATATTTACATATATATATGAAAGTTCACAAGGCTCAACCTTTAACAACATATTGGTGATATCTTATAGAAGGTCTTAATGGCCCCTGCCAAAATAGAACAATCTTCACACTCTTTCCTCTGTGGATACTTTTTTTGTAGCATTTTCAACAGTTTTTCATAACAAACAATACAAAATATATTATTTTGTTTCTGCTTTAGGACAGGGATTAGGGTTTGCAATAGTAGTGGGATTGGTGTTTAATAGTAAATGTAATCAAATATTATGAAGAACCTTATAAAATAAAAAAAATTAGACCACCAACCACAGAGGCTGTCACCAAGACCTCAATACTGAGTTCCCATTGTCAAGATCCACTGATGATCAGGCTCTAGCAACAGTGTCTGAAAAACTCTAGAGACAGAACAATCATCCCTGATCTGGAAGGGGAAATGACCAAGGAAAACAGTCTGGCATTTTTGGTTTGTTTTAACATACATTAGTCAGGGTCCTAGGTTGTAAACAAGACAATTAGACTCTGACTAAGAAAAAAAAAAGAATTTATGGCAAAAACTTCAGGTGCCACAAAATGAGCCAATATCACCATTGGCTCCCTTCATCACCTCCAACACTTGCTGCTGGTGGCTGCCAAATTCTTGGCAACCCCACCACCAGGGAGAAATGTCTTGTCCATCTGTCTTTGTACTTCTTGCTCAAGATTCAAAATTAAAATAGGAACCAGAAATTTGGTTACTTGCTCCAATTCCAGAATCCAAGGGTGGGGAGACCAAATGTGTATCCACATTGTGCTCCCACAGTAGGAGAGAGGGCCCTTAAACTCAAACCATAAGGGAAGATTCCAAATAGAAAGGATGTTTGCATGTGATCATCAACAGAGAAATGACCGGTTTCCACTACCTCATATTTCAATAGTTATGTTTTCCTTGCACTTTGATAAAGATGGGTTTTCAAAGAGGTGAAGATCCTCAATCTCTACAGTCTCCCAAACTCAGCACCCTAAATGGAACAGGCTCATGAATAATACACATAGACTTGTCAGAAATTCTTGCTTTATGAATTAAAAACTTTACCGGCCTAAATTAAATTTTCATCTGCTAGCAGTGTCCTGCAGCTTTGTCCAAGGCGATTTTAGAAGCTGCAGATTTTAGAAGCATGCATGCTACCTGAATGTCAAAAGATTCCTGCAGCCAGCCCAGGTGAACCGGCAGGAGTGCTCAGCTTTTTATTACATCCTCCTACCTCAAAGAAGCAGGATGAGTCCAGGCCTCGCTCCTTCTTAGCCTGGAGATTCCTTAGAAATGCTAGGGACTGGGCACAACTCCCCTCTGAAGAGTCTCTGGGCTGAGGCTGTTCCACTTCTACTTTTACTTTTAAAAGGCTGGAGGTGAGTGAAGAAAAGCAGTGAATTCCTGCTGAGGGGAAAATTTTTTTCTTAATAGAGCCTCAAAACAACAAAGAGGAGCAGCAGGACTACAGCAGAACAGAACTAACGGCAGAGGGTCAGGGAGAGGGTGAGGAGGATAAAGCAGGAGTCCCAGCAGCAAGTCGTCTCCTCCTCAAGCTGCCAGAGAGAAGTCAGGGAAAGCTGCACCATTGCACACCAGCATCCATTTCACAGAAAGACAACACGTGCACTTAAATATGTCTGTCCAGGCATGTTCACTAAAGCATCACACACACACACACACACACACACACACACACACACACACACATATGTGCGCCTACACACACACCCCAGAAAACAAACCTGGAAAGCACTATCCTCCAATACTTAACTATTCAATCACACTATGAAATATTTAGACTATGAAAAAGAGATAATATATAAACAGATGTAAGAATATTGATAACTTGAGTAAGTAAATGTAAATGGCAAAATAATTGGAAAGGAATGACTTCTTTTGTTTTTAAAGAGATAGGGACATTTGCTTTCAGCCTAGCTCAGGCACGTGGTCAAGATCTGAGAGGGGGGGAACAGGGGAGGGCCTGTTCCGACCACACCACCCTGGCTCCACAAGTGTCCTGGAGGCAACTACAAGCACAGTTCCTCCCAACCCTAAAAGTCAGTTTTCTTTGGAGCATGAAAGGAGGCCGGGGTACATGTGCTTAGACAGTATCAGAGCAGCACTGGGGTTGCCAGAAATGGTTAAGATATTGAGGGAAGCTGGCTTGGAAACTTCACAGACCCCCTGCAGCAGAAAACAGAGCAAGGAGACTGGACAAACCATCAGAGGTAGATGCCGTGTTCTGGGTTAAGGTCTCAATGAAATAAAATAAAAAGATGGACGAGCTCTGTAAAGAAGGAGCCCTCCTGCATTTCAGAGAAACTTTATTCACACGAAAGCCCACAGACACCCAGCCACAGAGAAGTGCTGGGAGCCGGGAAGCACAGCTGGCTATTTCTGACTCTGCTCCCACTTCTGGTGGTGCTCAGGAGACCACGCAGTGCTGGGTCAAGGTCTGCAGCATGCAAGGTGGGGACCTTCACTCCGGTACCATCTCTGTGGTCCCTCGCTGAGCTTCTTAGAGCTCGTGGCAACCTGCCCAGCACGTTCCAAAGGTGAAGGACCCAACCCTTTCATCTCTGCCTCAGGACCCGGCCTCCTGAAAGACCCTAAGCCCTGTGGAGTCTCCTGGTTCTATCCGTGTAAAGCAGAAGACGGGTAGAACCAGGATAGAACTCCAATTCACAGCCCTGACCTAGGGTGGCCTCAGAAGTCCTCAGGGGCATGGGTGGTGGGAAGAAATCCAGCGAGTAAGATGCAGAAACGGATTCCAACTCCCCTCCTGGCAGCGGCCACTGAATTCCACCTGAGCTGCAGGCACAAGAACTCATGGTGGTCCCTCATGTCACCTCCTCACATCCCTTTCATCACTGTCGGTAGGGGGCGGGGCGGTGGATGGGTGGGGGGGTGGATCTGGGCCCTTATTGCTGAGCCCACTTTTTGCATGGGGCCTTCCCCAGACCCCCAGGGGGCGAACTCTGGGGCAGGCGCAGGCCCAGGCTAGTTTGGGTTTTATTTGTCTTTTTCGATGACCCCCCATCCCCCCTTGGGTCACCTCCAGTCTAGCCCTCGGCCGCAACGCTCGTTGGGCATCAGTACCATTTGGGGGGCGTGCTGGGAGCTCGGAGCCCCCGCGGCTCGGTGCCTCTCCGGCGGATCGGCACGGCCGCCCCCGGGCGCGCACACACACGCCCCCCGGGGTCGCAGGGGCGCGGGGCCGGGCGCTGGGGCGCGCTGCGGCCGGGTCGCGGGTGCCTGCCGGGAGCCGGAGGGGCCGTGCCGGGTAGGGAGCTGGGGGGACCGGAAGGATGGCGAGGAAGTAGGAGAGGGTTTCCTGAGATGAAAGATTACTTCCGTCCGGGCTCTGGCCTCTCTCTGGAGCCGGCTCCTTGGGGGTTGGGGACCCGGGTGCGCGGGGTGCAGGCTCGGCCACCTGCAGCGCCCAGCGCGGGCGGGACGCGCTCTGCCCGGTCCGGGGGCTCACGCGGCGGCGGGGGGTGGGGGGTCCTTGCAGGTGGGAGTCGAAGCCTTCGCTAGCGCCCAAGCCATGGTGGCCAAGCAGCGGATCCGGATGGCTAACGAGAAGCACAGCAAAAACATCACCCAGAGGGGGAACGTAGCCAAAACCTTGGTAAGGCGGGGGCGGCGCCGAGCGGGCGAGCGGGGCAGGGCCGGCCGGGCGGGCGGGGCGGGGCGGGGCGGGGCGGGGCGGCCGCCGACTCCCCGCCCGGCCGCCCCGCTCCCCCGCGCCCCGGCCCGCCCCTCGGGTGGGTGCCCGAGCTGGGCTGCGGGCGACGCGGATGCCTCCCTCCAGCCGGGGGCCCCGAGTTCTCTGGGTGGTCGTGGCCCCCCACTGGCAGGGGCGGCTGGGGCTAGCTAGGGCCTCCCCAGGAGGTGCAGGCCTTTGTCTCTGGGAGACGAGCAAAATCTCGTCCTTACTGCATCAGTTAAATGAACTGCTTGACAGAGGGCCCAGGGCCTAGTAGGAGCTAGGATGGATGGATGGATGGATGGATGGATGGATGGATGGATGGATGGATGGATGGATGGATGGATGGATGGATGGATCGATGGATAGATCGATGGACAAATGGATGGATGGACGGACGGACAGACGGACGGACGGACGGACGGACGGGCAAATGAATGGATGGATAGGCAGATCGATGGACACATGGATGGATAGATGAATGGATGAAATGGACGAATAGATGGATGAATTCGAGGAACGAGTTAAGGATTACATGCATTTATCGTCTCCTTCTCCCAGGTTTTGGCCCCTGGGCGGTCTCTCACAGACTCACAGTCTAAGGCATTGTTTCCAGCCACTTTGTAACTGCGTATCCCAATACCTTGCAAGTGTGGGTTGAAATTCTGAATCAGCTTTCCCCCTCTCCATCCTTGTTTTTCTTTTTTCTTGTTTTTACCCCCAAGAAGTCTCTCGCTATTGGGCTACAGTGTAAATACCAAATTAACCTCTTTCACTCTGTGAATTCATCCCAACTGTATAGTCCTGAGTTTTAAAGATGGAGTTTTTTTTTTTTTGTCAAGCATCCTGTGCTGCCCGCCCACCCTCCCCCCCACGAACAACTGTAACTTTGCAATTGCTTTGCAATTGGACTCTTTTAAAAAGTTAGTGTTATTGAAGTAACATTGGTTTTTAACATTATTAAGGTGTGGGTATATGGCATTTTAAATCCCCATTTGCATGTGCTACATGATGGTTTCCACCAGAAGTCTAGTGTCTAGTGTTCATCATGCAGTTGACCCATTTTAGTTTTCCTTGTACCCATTTGTTCTGGCAATCAGTATTTTGTTTTGTTAGAGCCAATAACCTAGGGACCAACCAAACTTAGCCCCTAGGTTTGCTTTTGTTTGGTTTGGTTGGTGTCTTTATCTTCCCCATGTAAGTGAACAACAACAACAACAACAAACACTGTTTTCCGTTGTTCTTTGATTTTGCTCGAGCGGGCAAATGTCTCCATTTTTTTGAGACTTGTTGTTACCGTGTTTGGCATATCGAATACATCACAGGTAGCTCACCAGGCTTTGCCATGCTGGTGAGATACTCTCGGTAGCTTGCCGGGCTCTCTGAGAGGGGCAGAGGAATTGAACCCGGCTCTCCCGGGCTGGCGGCGCACAAGGCAAACGCCCTACCACTGTGCTATCGCTCCAGTCCATGAGTAAGAACATGCGATGTTTTTCTTTCTTTGCATGGTTCGATATTTTAGTAAAATCTCTGCCTTGTGTGGAGAAGTTTAGCAAAACAGATTATCTTCAACAGAAAATGCCAGTCCTGTGAACTAACAGAAAACTGAACTAGGACATGAACTAGGACGTCCAGGTCCAAATTTTTGGGCAGTGTCAGACTCCAAGACAAGACATGCAGAGGCACATGGAATCCATTATCCTTTGCAGTTGAGTGGAGGCCCAGCTTAAACTTGGGGTTTGGCTGGGAAAGCTTAGCAACCAGTTGAAGGCATTTCTTTTAGCCAAAGAAATTATGTTGGTTTGATGAAGTGAGTAAAAAAATTGGATCCGCTGTCCTCATACTAGACTTCTCACAAAATCAAGCAGTATTGTGGCAGGGAATCCAAAGAATCAGATTCTGCTTTATTAGACCAGGGCAACAGTACAGTGAGTAGGGCTTTTGCCTTGCATGAGGCCAACCCAGGTTCGATCTCCGGCATATCATATGATCTCTGAGCACTGCCAGGAGTAATTCCTGAGTGCAGAGCCAGTTGTAACCCTAGAGCATCACTGGGTGTGACCCAAAAAACTAAAAAAAAAAAAGACTCACCAACTCAACTCCACCCCTCCAAAAAACTCAGCTTTCCTTGAACCTTTACACACAGCTCCAGGCTTAGTGATATTTAAAATTCTCTCGTTACAGCATTAGATCATTTCAGTGTGATTGGACAGTGAGATGGCAATGTGCTGTCAAATGGAAACTATTTTTTCACATAGATGATTCTCCTATTTATTTATTTATTTATCTTTTTTGGGTCACACCCGGCAATGCACAGGGGTTACTCCTGGCTCTGCGCTCAGGAATTACTCCTGGCGGTGCTGAAGGACCGTATGGGATGCTGGGGATCAAACCTGGGTTGATCATGTGCAAGGCAAACGCCCTGCCCTCTGTGCTATTGCTGTGCTATCAGCCCCTCTCTCTCCTATTTATTTTTAGTCAGAAAATTTGCTGAGAAAATTGACATTGAACAAAATTATTTGTTGTTTTTATTTGGGGGCCACACTCAGTAGTGTTCAGGTGTGGTTGAAGGACTGTCCCTAGTGATGGCCTAGAGTATATGGTACCAGGGATGGACACTGGAGCTCCCACTTGTATGTGCTCTCCCTCACTATCTCCCCAACCCTGCCTGAAATCCCATTTTTTTTTTTTTTTTTTTGCTTTTTGGGTCACACCTGGCGATGCACAGGAATTACTCCTGACTCTGCACTCAGGAATCACTCCTGGCGGTGCTCAGGGGACCATATGGGATTCTGGGAATCGAACCCTGCTTGGCCACGTGCAAGGCAAATGCCCTACCCGCTGTGCTTTTGCTCCAGCCCCTTGAAATCCCATTTTTAATTCAGTTTGAAACACTCATGGTCTTCTATTCCTAATGTATCAGTTTTTCCCAGGATATAAGAATAGCTGATGTTCTAAAAATCTCTAGCTGTGTGTTTCTGTTTAAAGAACTAGAAGCCAGTATTTAGTTCTTTGTGGAATTCAATTGACAACTTATCTGATTGCCAGATAGACAATTCTTGCTATTCATTTGCTATACCACTAGGTTTGGTAAACTCAGTGTCTGACACCTCCAGCTTTTCAAGACCATTAGAAAATGAGACTGGAAAGGAAAATTATTGGCACTAACATTTAAAAAGAAAATAAAAATATTGGAATAAAATTTATTTGATTGTCTATAAAATATAGTCACCTGCAATTTAACTCAACTCAGCTTTGAGATTTATGTTCAAAATACACTTCTAGTACTGTGTGATTGAATTTTTAATAGGTCCTGATATACCAATGCTTAGACCTTTCAAAAGTGTCTGGCGCCTGGGAGGGGTTTTAAATGGCTCTACTAAATTTGTAATGAAAGGTTTTCACCCTGGGCCACAATGTATCCTTATTTTCACTTAGAAGAATTTCTGGTTAAGTTTATGATAAACTGATCAGCATCCAAAAAAGAAAATCTAAATTCTCTTTTTTAAAAAACGATCTAAGTCCTATATTTCCAATTATTGGTAAAATATTATTATTTTTTGCAAATATTAACTTAAAAAGGGACTTATTTAGGAGTTCAATAAACAAGAACAGAAAAGTTGTAACTGAAAATTCAAAGTAAAAATTTCAAAGTAGTTATTTCATAACTAGCTAACAGTGATAAGGTGAATCAGTATTACTCCCAAACAGCAGACTATTCCAAGAAACAGAGAATTGTGATTATTCAGTAGTGACTTCTCCACATTGACAGGGGAATTTAAATTTCAGAGTTCTGGGTTACTTATCTACTGGTATTTTAGCATAGCAAAGTTATACCATCACATTTTGGAATTTCAGAAAGTGGCAAACTCCAGTGTAAAATAAATTAGGTCATTGGTGGGATCGTTACTGGTTTCCTTAAACCTTTCCAGCAATAGTTTCAGCTTACATGATGTTTTTCCCCAATGGAATTATGCTTACATCTCTTTCCCCTAAAAAAAAAAAAAAGCAAAGGAAAGCTCTCAAAAAAAATTTTTTTTAAGATTATAGTTTTCTGTTTTCTATGCCCCCCAATCTCTTCATGCTTATAATTCACATTTTTCTGGAAAGGAAAAGAAAGACATCATGTGACATCTACCCCAGACCAATCATTCGTTTACAGGCTCCTGAACTCATTTGCTAGTTTCTCTGGAGAGTACTCTAAGAAAAATATTCATATAGTATTAGTGGGAGGACAGCACAAGAACTTCGGGGGTTTTTTTCTGAGCCACACCCATCTATGCTTCAGGGCTTACCTTACCCCTGGCTCTACACTCTGGGATCACTCCTGGTGAGTTTAGGGGAATCATATGGGCATGCCAGGGACCAAACCAGGTTGGCCACATGCTAAGTAAGTGCTTTGCTAGCTGCACTATTGCTCTAGACCCAGCAGTAAGACTTTTGGTCAGTTGTAATACATGGTTAGAAAGTTGGTGAAAGAGAGAAGGAGGGGATAGATAACACAATTCAGGTAACCCTATTTAAAGAGTACCTTTGTTGTTTACTTGTTCTGATTTCAATCTGGTTTTAAGCACCAAAAAATAGCCTAGTAATAACACCTGTTAAAATGATCTTATGCAATTATTTAAAGCTGTGTTCCTGTTCTTGTCTTTGAAGCTCCAAGGAAAACAGCCATCTATCCCCCACCCCAGCATAATGTTGCCATTATGCAAGAATGGGGATAGATATATGCTTGTGAGGAACTAAGATATGAATGATCTTATTCCTTAGTCAAAATCCACCTGCCCTTGATACTTTCACCATAATCCTTTAGTAAGAGAAATATAGGGGTAGCTAGGGAATATTAGTAAATGTAAATTAATCCAGATAATAAATGAGAATTACTCCAAATCATCCTTTCCAGAACCTGCCTTTATCTGACCTACAAAATCGCATTGAATGATACATGTATACTTATTTATTCTTCAACAAACATTTCATGTGTATCAGCCTATGCCAGGTATTGTTATTGTTGATCCACAAAAGGGATATAGTGCCTGTCCCTGTGGGCCTACAGTCTAGTGGAGAGACAGACAGGAGACACATTATCACACAGACAAATAAAGAGCTACAAACTGAAAAATGCTACCAAGAAAATAGTACGTGGTAATACAAGTAACCCAACTGAAGTCAGGAAGAAGGCTTTTAAAGAATGTAATAGGTAAGCTGAGAACCTAAGAATTGTTGCCTTATCTATAATAAAACGAGTTCTATACCTTTGATGGGCTACAGCCTATTTTGGAATCATGAAAATGAGGAAATATTTAATGAGTCTTGCCAACTTTCCAGTACCCCAAGTTCCAAATTTTTGTAGCACAGAGAAGGTTTTGAAGAAATGACTGCACTCTGTGACTATGCTTGGGTTTCCCGGGTGCAAGAATTAATGATGAATGCATTTGTGGAATCCTCAAGTTCTGCAGTAAGGCTGAACCGAATGTGAGTCCCAGTTCTTGCTCAGATAAACAACTGAGTTTCGGTTTCTCAACTGCAAGACAGAGATGGTAAAGTTTGCCTTGCCTGGAGCTGTGGCTGCGGAGAGAAAAGGCTTTGTATGGCTTCCTGCAGTGCCAAGGGAGAGTAGTCTTTTACCTTTACCTTTTCAACAAATATAAGCAATTATTAGAAAGATTGATTTGGGGCTCTTGTTTCACTCTGCTTTTTATGGATTTATATGCTGGAGCCATAGCACAGTGGGTAGGGTGTTTGCCTTGCACGCTGCTGACCCAGGTTCGATTCCTCCGTTCCTCTTGGAGAGCCTGGCAAGCTACTGAGAATATTCCGCCCACAGGGCAGAGCCTGGCAAGTGCCCCGTGGTGTATTAGATATGCCAAAAACAGTAACAAGAAGTCTCACAATGGAGACATTGCTGGTGCCTGCTCGAGCAAATCGATGAACAAGGGAAGGACAGTGCTACAGTGCTACAGTGTTACCCTATATGTTCTCAGAATGTTTAAAACTGCCGGTTATTGATGAATTTTTCTAAACATTTCACCCTCTTTTTCATTTATCCATCTTTTTTTAATCTTCTTCATTCATAACTGTCCATTGGATGTTGAGCTCAGGTATGTCTCATTCACAATGAGATCCCCACTCTAAGCACTTGCCTAGTAGTACTCAAATGTTTGTTGAGTGGATGAACTAATCTACTTTCTCCCATCTCTTTTAGAGGCCACAAGAAGAGAAATATCCTGTGGGACCATGGCTGTTGGCACTGTTTGTTTTTGTTGTCTGTGGTTCAGGTATGAGTTTTTCACTGACCTCATATTTCACGTTCTTTACCAATCTTTAAAAACACACGTCTTACTCACAAGGTAAATGGGCAAAGAAGCATTGATCTGAGATTCAAGTTAATCACTACCTGAAGTTTCTAGTAATAGGTTTTGACTTTGCTACTTTTCAGCAAACCAAATAACAATCATTAAATATCATGTTGAGCTATTAAATTGGCTCTCTACACACCTTAGAACTCAGTTTGGGCTTTCTGTGAAGACATAGCCACAAAATGAGAAATTTAAACAGAAAGTGAGCACCTGTCTTGCTTGAGGCAAATCCACGTTCCAGAAAATCAGAGAGGCTTTATGTTTTAAGAGGATGTTCTAAGAGCTCCTAAGTATAACTGGGTCCTGTCCTCGACCTCAGCATATCACCTGGTTGGAAGGTGACAAGTTCAAATAGCATATGCAAACACATATAGCCACAGCGGAGTCTTAAACAAAGGAATCGTGCAGTTGTTTGTAGCTCGGTTCTGTTTTGAGAAAATTTAACATAGTTCCTGGTTCCCATGACTGAATGTCTGAAACACTAGTGAATGGAGGCCCCTTTTTCCAATGTAAGGTCAGCCTTGATGACTCCCATTCCCCATCATCTCGTACTTGCTGAGGGCTGGGAAGGCGAAGAGTCCCTATCTTCCTGCAAAGATCTAGATCACCTGGAAAGACATCACTCTACAGCAGAAACCCATTGCTAAAGCTAGATCAGTGCCTCTGCTTTTCAAGAAATCATTCTTCCAAGGATACAGAAGGCCTTAGGAGGTAAAAGCGATACAAAGTACTTTGTAGATTAAGGCTAAAATAATTAAAATGTCATTTACTATGGCCTAGTAAGAGTATATGTTCTCCAAGAAAACAAACTAGCTGTACCGAATTCCCAAAAATGTATCCTCAAAGGAGATGCTTTGCCCTGCTAAGGAATCCCTCCTCACTGTCTTGAACAGTTTATCCAACTTCTTTGCCAGAAAATTTCTGAACATGGAGTGCTCATTTCTCCAGAAAGTCTATCCCATTTCTGTATATTCTAATTTTTTTAGAAACATGGCTTCTCTTTGGAACTACACTGTGTTGTCTTCTCCAGTTCAGGTATGAGCTAAACTGCCTCGGTGCACTCTCCTGGTCTTATCAGATGTGGTATCTAGAACCTCATTCTGCATCTACTACATGATTCTCATAAAGCAAAGCCTTTCACACTGCAGAAATTGGATTAGAAGTAGTGTGACTGTGACAGAGAGAACAGAATTGTCATTCCTCTAGGTTTCATCACTCTGCTTCTAGTCCTATGATCTAGTCTCTTTTTACCAGTCACAGACCCACCATATTCTTCACATAGAACTTTCAGCAAGTTCAAGCACATTGCCTGGACCCCAACCCCACCATTCAAAGTGGTCCCCTGCCCTCATCACACATTGCTTTAGTGATGCACGGCCTCATCAGCATTTCAAATTCTTTCATTTGTTTACTTAATATTTATTTTCCTCTCTTAGGAAAGACCATGTTTATTTTCTACTAAATATATGTATCCTAGCCCAGCATTTAGTATATGAGTACTCAGTAAGTTTGACTGGGTGGCTGCCTGGATGAATAGAACCAGATATGGACCATTCAGTAGATATTCAGTTGATTTTTTTGAGACCTAATATTAAGCTTCATGAATCTTTCTATTAAAATTTCATTGTTGATTATCAGTTGTCTTTTTATAAAGTAGCCATAAAACCTGGAAACACAGATGAACATCATAAAGAATAACTTACCGGTAATACGTTATATGTACAGTATAGTCAATGACATGACTTGACAGACCCAATGTACCATGTCCTCTATGTCTGGTTTCAAGTGCCACATGCAGTTGCAATGAATACAATGCCATCTTGCATTCTGTTAACGCCAGCCCCTATGAATGCATTTGTGAGTCATTGCTTCAGATAATCTGTATCTGATTTTTAACCTCAAAAAATAAATAAATAAAAATAAAAAACAAGCAAACTGAAAAGCCTGTGGGTGAGGGTTCCACAGAAAAATCAAGAAAAACCCATATTTATAAAAACATTATCTATGTTTTCGGGCTTTATGGCCACCCAACAGATTGTTAGATCTCGAATCCTGAGTCTTTTATCTAATTATCTTTCCTTCCCGGATTTAGAGATTCTGAAAGTATATTATGTTCCTGAGATACTGATAAAAGGCTAGACCATGAGAAGCTCACTGAACACAACTACAGACAACTCCCTTAAGCTTTCAACATCTCAGCAAAAATTTAAACAATCATTGTGTCTTGAGGTTCCCCCATGCGCCTGGCATTTTGTTAGGCCCTAGACAACCCCTTCAGGAGCAGGAGGGCACTGGGGGAGGAAGATAAGGAAACTGTTCGTTGTTGGCTGGGGAAAGAAGGCTTTGATAATGGGTGCCCCGGCCACTTGGCAGGCTGGATAAGGGACTTGTCTTACTGTATGTGGGCTGTTGTAGCAAAATACCACAGACTGGTGGCAGAAATATACAGCAGAGACATACTGCTCAGTGTCCTGGAGGCTAGAAGTCAGATGAGCGTATCAGAGTGGCTGGGAGAGGGTCCTCTTCCCACGTGGTACCCTTCTGTGTCTCCATGAGTGACAGGTGGAGCTAGGATGGTTGGGACTTGGGGAGGGGGTCTCTTTTCTGATACCATCTGCTCCCTTCAATAAAGCTCCACCCACATGACTAATCACCTCTGGAGCCTCTAGCTTCTGAGTCTAGCACAGTGGGTGTGATTCCACCTAGACATAAGGGGGACACAGAGAGACTTCTCCATCACACTGAGCAGGAGATAGCAGGAGAGGAAGTGAAATCAGAGCTGAGTTTTGTAGGACAGACACCCACACAAAGGGTGTGTGGGAGGTTAGTCCACATGAGGGAACACTCCTGACAAAGCAGGGAGGCTTGACCTAGTTTCCAAGACTCAAGAATGGCCAAAGTTCGATTGTAGGAATCTCTGAGACCTGGCCTTCCTGTCCTTATGCAACCTGGGTGGTCAGAGCCTAGGGAAATGCAGAACTCCTCCCTCCCTCCCTCCCTCCCTCCCTCCCTCCCTCCCTCCCTCCTTCCCTCCCTCCCTCCCTTCTTCCTTCCTTCCTTCCTTCCTTCCTTCCTTCCTTCCTTCCTTCCTTCCTTCCTTCCTTCCTTTTCTCACAGTTTATCAGGCTTCTCCAGTCTTCACTCTGAGGCAGTCTATACGGGCAGAAAATAAAATGTTCTTTTGGCTTTGTGTTTTCCTCAAAACCAAAAGCCATCTTTTTGAAAGGGCTTAAAAACACTGTAATTTTGCTACTCTTGTTAGTCCAGAGTGTAGGAACTATATCTTTCCCCCTTGAGTAAATTAACACATTTGCTGACAGCAGACCATTGGCACCCTCTCATCACCTGTCATTTTCTAAGAGATCCAACTCAGGGCTCTGTTATCCCATTTGCCCAGGGATTAGGGATAGGGACCTGAAGGACCTGGAGATTTTTGCCTTCAAGCGGTTTTAAGAGCACATGCCATGGTGTATAGGGAAGAGTGGTAAGAGGGGATGGCACTAGAAGAGTTTAGTGGGAGAGCACATGTTTTGCATGTATGAGGTCCTGGGTTTGACCCTTGATACCATGAAGGAGGAGTATTAGCATGCCATATAGCAAGGAAGGAAGGAAGGAAGGAAGGAAGGAAGGAAGGAAGGAAGGAAGGAAGGAAGGGAGGGAGGGAGGGAGGGAGGGGCAGGCACATACAGATATACTTAATTAGTATGCTACATCCTCTCTCCCTTTATTTCCAGAGAACATCTAATGAAGCACCTTTAAATCTCCCTAGTTAGACTAGTTTACTTTTATGGAGAGGCTAGACATAAAATGCGAGCGGAGCAATCTTCCTCTCTATCTTCTGTTACTCCTCTGTTAACAAGCTACCATGATCCTTGGGCAGTGGGTCCTGTCCCTTTTAAAATCATCACTGTCACTGTCACTGTCTTCCCATCGATTTTCTCGAGCGGGCCCAGTAACTTCTCCATTGTGACACTTGTTACTGTGTTTGGCATATAGAAAACATCATGGGTAGCTTGCCAGGCTTTGCTGTGTGGGTGAGATACTTTCAGGAGTCTGCCAGGCTCTCGGAGAGGGGTAGAGGAATCAAACCCAGGTTGGCTGGGTCGGTCGTGTGCAAGGCAAACGCCCTACCTGCTGTGCTATTGCTTCAGCCCTGGATGGACTACATGATAATGAATGTAATTTTGGTCTAAAGAGGAAAAAAAATACTAGAGAAAATGAAAGGATCTATTACAGAAATGGGCTACCAGGATTAAAACAAACAGAAAGCCTCAACATATCAACCACAATGATAGAAAGAGAAGCAAGAATAAAAAATCTCTCCCAACTACATCAAGCTAAAAAAGCTTCTGTATTGTGATTTTTTTTTTAAAGTTTTTAGGTCACTCACACACAGAGGTGCTCAGGGCACCATATGGAATACCTCGGAGTGAACGCAGGTCACCTGCATGCAAGGCAGTGCACTACCCGCTGTACTATCTCTCTCACTCCTTTTACCAATGAATTTTACCAAGCCTTTAAAGAAGAAATTAAATTTATTTTACTAAAACAAAAAAAAAAATAAATAACAACAACAAAAGGAACCAAAAAGGTCAACACAACCCTGAAACCAAAACCAAAAGAGACACAAACACAAACTATAATATCTCTGAGAACAAAGATGCAAATTTTCTCAACAAAATATTGCATCGAGCTCAACAGTACATCATCAATATGACTTTACATAGTAAATAGAGATCTAAGAATGGTTCAGCATAGGTAACTAAAAATAATCTACTACCACCTCCCTCTATTTTTTGGCTGATTTTAGCCTTTTCTTTTGCTAGCCTCAGCTCAAGTTAGGCACTGTTCTCACAGAAATGTGTCATTCTTCTCAGTTTGTCCTTGGGACCATGCCCTTCCTTCTATCTTTGTACATG